AAATACCAAACTTTGTAAGTATTTAGAATTTATTTTATTACAGCAATTGAGTCATTGGTAGGCTTCCGCCTTGGTTTAAAATTGTAAGTATATCCATAAAACAGCATGTTCATTTGATACATATTTACATAATGTTGTTTCATTTTAATTGTGGATTTTGAGGTCTTTATCAGAGCTTGTGGGGGGAGAGTTAAATCAGAGAATTTACAATTTTATCAGTGAAAACAAGAATCCCTGTAAGTCAGTAACAGAGTGAAGAGATGGAGAATTAGGAGCACTGAGATACTGAGAGGAAAAATTGCATCTGAAATATTACAATTTATGTGGAAACACAGTTATAAGAAAAAAATATGACTCTTTAGGTCCACATTCTTTTGAATCTGTTTACTCATATTGCTAAATTAGCTTTTTTGTGGGGCCAGTGTTGTATGTGATGCATACAAGGAATGGTGAACCGATGCAGACTTCACACGCTACCGTGTAATGGGTGACACACAGTGTACAAACAGCTCTATATATTCTGTAAAGCTGACTTGGTATTATAAAAGACTTGTTTATATACATTGCTTTAAAACTGTTGAATTAACACCAGAGTTCAGGTGCATCATATTTAATCTGAAATTTAGAGCTGTATGGGTTTTTTCTTTTTGCGCAATTTATAACTATTAATATGTGCTTCTGTTTCGCACACTATTTTAACACCATTTTTATTATCAGTGTTTTTATTAAATTGGCAAAAGCATAGACCTTCAATATACATCCTGTCTGTTTAAGCTCAGTATCCTTACAAAAATATCCTTTCACTCTTTATGGATGTTGTTTCCTTCTGTTTTCTAGATAATGGCAAAGTTTAGCATGTTTTACCCCTATCAAGTCTGCTATTTCATGCAGTTTCCTAACCCTAATAAGCAAAGAATTGCTTCTGAATTTAAAAAGTCAAGCACTAATTTTTTGCAAGTGATATAACTTTCCTTAAAAAAAAAAAAAAATGCCAGGGTCTAGGAATACCTCAAAATTATTTTTAAAATTGTGAGGTTCAAGAGGTTAAATAACTAATAATACTGTCTCAGTCCCTGGAACATATCGTTTAGGGTCCAAACAGCCATCCCAGGAATACAAACTCTCTGATAGTAGCAAGAAGAAAGTCATCAACTACTGCAGAGCTCCCTGCTGCCAGCAGGTCAGCATTATTTGTAAAGTGAACTTCAAATTGCAAAACAGCGGTAGTGTTACAAGTAGTATTGAGCTCTAAATGTCCTTGTGGATATTTGCCCCTGTGCCCTGGCTAAGTTCCAAGTCATTTCCATTCTGGATGCAGAAATTTCTCTATATTTTCCCTGCCCATTTGCCAAATTATAAATCACTGGTGGACAGTTGGAAAAACTCTGTTTAAGAAAAAATCAATGGCTGCCAAAAAGAAAAGTAAGCCCTGACAGTGGCAACACAGAAAATAATAGGGGAATCAAGTGGCATTAAAAAAAAAATCAAATAACATGTATTTGTTCTACCTGTTTTCCCTGGTGAGATGGGGTACATGTATTAAAGTATCTGGAAGTAAATATGTAAAGTAAATACATTTGCACACCCAGGCCATCCTAAGGCTGTTTAGTCCTAGCAGTATTTCTAAGGCTTTCATGTTCTCACTCAGACACAGTTCTTGTGAACAGTTTTTTTTTTCCTGGTAGATTAGGCCCAGAGATGGCTCAGTGTCTTGCCAGCATAGTTTCACTCAGAAACTACATCTTTGCCTTTCTCTCATCTTACAAAAGGAGACATTGCAGCCACAGTAGGTAGTAGCCTCTCAAGCTACTCACCATGGCATAAGTTCACCCACGGAGCAAGCTGCAAGTAGGCAAAGAACAGTTTCTAACTAGAGGGGAAATGCAGTGCAGTTCCTTATTAGCTTGGCCAGAAAGATGCTTTTCATGGACCGACTTAGACCATACTGGTGTCTGCCGCTGCTGATAAAGTTGGCTTGATTCTTGGCTCCATTGTTATACAGGATACACATACATGCATGAAGTGAATCCAGCTGCCAGGTAGGGACTCCATTCATTAAATGTAATGTGTTCTCGCTCTTCGTTGAAGATAAATCAGGCGGTTACACAGGAGCACAAGTGGTTTTTGTACATTGCTCCCAGAGGCTGAATACAGTGTAGGTAGCCATTGTGCATAAATTGCTCTTATCTGCTAAAAACAAATTTAGAAATTGCCCATTTTTAAACCCCCACATTCAAATGCACAATAGCTACAGCCAGCCTCAAGGTCAGTGTCTGGGCACAGGGTAAACATTATTAGAGCAGAAAGCACTGTAGTTCTTCCTTTCTTTTCTCTTCTTTTTTATTTTCTTTTTCCACAGCTATACAGAACACATAAAGGGAAAAATAATACAGTGAAGTTAAAGGGGAAAATCTGACTGAGACATGAAAATCTGCAGCACTATCCAACTGTGTTTTTTTTTTT